TATGATTTTATCATCTTTATTTAGTTGTATTTAAAAAAAAGCACAGTTATTGCCGCTTTATGCAAGATTGAGAGATGTCGTTTATTTATACACCAAAAAATCTGCCATATTGATTTTTGTCCCCACTGTACGCGACACTAGAATACGAGCAAATTATTAGTATTCTACAGTGCATTCACGGGATTGTATGGAGCAAGCAATAGCTATATTCATGAACCCGGAAGTCATTTTTACTTTCGGGGGGGTATATATTGCCGTAATACCAATAATTCCGAATAGAATACGGCAGTTACAGCTATGTTTAACTCTTTTATAATTTCAAAGACAACAATGGCAACATATTTTATTGTCTGTCCTCCAACTTATTTTGAACGCAGCATTATTGTAATAATTAATGTAGTGTTTGCTACCTTGGGGTAGAAAAATAGTCTTCGAGTAACCGGGACCAATCTGAATATATACACCAATCTGACATCACCGTCTCAAACTCATACTGGAAGCGCAGCAGTCTCAATAAATATCCGGTTACTCTGTGTCTGTGGGGAAGACGTTGTTTAGTGATTGTATATCATGTACGAAAGCACAGTTCACCACTACACAGGCAAATATAGTTCAAATAGTGTGTGGGATAATTTTATTTTATTATACCTTTTGCTGCCCGTCATCCGTCCGAAACGGAGGAATTTATAGTGAACTGTGTTTCAACCAGTTAGTTGAAAAGCCTTTAGATTTCTTACTTTCCAATGTGGAAGGCGCTTAATTTGATTCAATCTGAGGTTTCATGAATTGGTGTAGAGAGTTAGTCTTCTCCTCTAACCAGTGTTTGATGAAAATTCCACCATCGCCTCCATACTATGTATTGGGGGTGGGCCACGTTTAGTCCATAAACTCTGGTAAAGTTCAGAAGCACTAACGAAATGATGGGAAAATATGATCAGTCAGTTTTGTAATAAGCTCCTGACGCTAGGATAGCAAGTCATTCATGAATTCACATATCCAAAGACGGGTCATTTTGAGACCGGTGGCCAAGAGTGAAATCCTTCACTTATCGTGTTGGTTCTCCGACTACCTGACTGCTTTTTCCAAGTCAGGCATCAATTTTTATATGGCAATCAAGGACTGCAATTGGCTTAAATGTGAATAGAACGGCAACCAATCAAGCCCAAGTAAGCCATTCTATTTTTTAGAAGAGGAGGGGCAGGTCACCAGAGTGAATAATAACACGGTGTGAAGATGACTAACAACCGTTTCCTATGCGGTTTCACAACTTTTAACAGGTAGCTTTATAGTGCACCATTGTTATGTTCATGTAGTAATTCACAGATCCAAACATGTCGAATAACCAAGGCAAGTTACTGTTCCCCCATACAGCAACGCGATGCAATGCGACAACTGACAGAATTATTTATTTGTGAATCGCAACAATTTGACAGCGTTCGAAAGATTCCATTTAATTTCATGCATTACGTGACAATAATATATCATGTTGTCTGTTTACATGAATACCATATTCTGTATTAGGCTGTGTACGTGGTCCGTATGCTCAGTTATATTTAAAACTCATATCAACAGACGGAACGACTTCTAAACTGGGAGGCGTAGCCTGATAGTAATGAAGTAGGAAAGTTAAATAAATACATGTCGGCCCTTTTATATGCGTCCATTTCGGTTAGACTACATTGTCGGGGGGAAAAATTGCGTATTTTACTAGTTGTTGTCCCAATTTGTAACTACCATCATTTCTAAGGTGTCATAATTCTCCACAACACTCATATCTGTAGCTCACACGGTTATAATGGAATAACCGCAAAGTGGAGACATACTGTGACAAAGCACAACTCTCACCCGAGCTCCCTGTCAGCCATCGTTTCGTCGGGCGATTTATTCGTAGAAAACCTATTTGTAGAAAGGTAAGATTAAAATAAGACTTATGATATTAACGTTAAACATAATTTTTCACTTGTTCTCAATATTATGTAATAATTTCTGTTGTTTCAGACTGTGGGCGGCCCATCATTGATTATTGAGATTATCTTTATAGATTTAGTTGGATTTAGATGTATTATTGCCTACAACGAAACTACCATTCTCAATGTTTTAGTATTGGTAATCCAAATTCTAATGAGCAAATACCAAGATGCTGGCCAATTTATGTCGGATCTCTTCAACATATGTGCACCTTATTTGTCGTCACATTACTTAAATTCCACATATATAATAATACGATTCCATTTTTTATGAATAAAAAAGG